GGTCACACGGGCGGGCCGGGCCGGGCCGGGCCGGGCCGGGCCCCGCAGCTCACCTGCCCGCAGGAGCCGCGGCACCGCCATGCTCCGGGCCGGCGGCTCCGCCATGTCCGGCCTCAGCCCGGGGGTGCCGCGCCGCTTCCAGGAGCTCACCTTCTACCGCGGCTACGGGTGAGCGCTGGCCCGGGCCCGGCCCCGGCGGCCCGCTCCCCGCGCTAGCTGTGCTCTCCCCCCGCAGGCAGCCGCAGGGTCACCCCCGCTTCCGGACCGTCAACCAGAGCTACGGCAGCAGGGCCCCCACGGTGCACGAGCTGCCGGTACGGGACCGAGCAGCCGGGACACGCTGCCCCTGGCCGCATCCGTCCCCGCTGCATCCAGCCTTTGCAGCTGCTGTCGAGGTTGGCTTTTAAAACATTCCCACCCTCCCCCGCCCCTCTCCTCTCTCCTTTTCTCGCCATCCGCAGAACTCCTTCCACTCCCTCTCGCACAAGTTTTCGGATCACCTGGGCAAGATTGGCATGTACAGGAACGAGAGCCTGAACACGTCCCTGGAGAAGAGCCACTGCACCGGCTCCGACACCTTCATCACCGCCTACGAGCACCTGGATTTCCACCCCAGCTACAACCCCAGCGGCCCCTCGCACTGCCGGGACCAGCCGCTGTAGCCAGGACACGGCTGCAGCGCTTGGCTGCCTTGGGAAATACACCCACAGCCAGCCTTGCTACTAAACACACCCGCCAGATTACAGAGGGAATGGTATTTAGGAGTAATACGTTAAAGATTTAATGTGGTTAAGTGTCAGTTAGGTAGCTGATGTGAAGCATTTTACCTAATTTATCAGCAGCATATAAATGCTAGAACTACATAAATTCCGTATTTATCCCGTTATCCCCTTCTCTGTCACTAATGATCCTTTACACTCTTGCCTCATGTACCATGTATCATTAAAAATTAAGACTAAACTGCTTCTCTACTATTTAATGAATAATCAATCTGCAAGTTTTCCAGAGGTATTCATTAACTCTTTGGATTTCTGGTAGAAAGTTCACATTTCTTCTCACTCAAAACAACAAAGTTGTAAGAAATTATTCAAATAATGACAAGTAATCAAGAAAAAATTTGAAGTTTTATTGGAACAACTGTAGGTACAGGCAAAGAAACTGCATCAGTTGGACAGGGACTGCACTGAAAGAACATCTGAACATTTTTGACTGAAAAATGAGTTTTTAAGAGAAACTACTCTGCCTGTTGATGGATGAGAAACCGTCCCACCTTACAGGTGTAACATAACATTAAAGATGAGCATAATATTATTCAAACTGCTTGCTAAAAATATAAACAATGAGTGTAACATTATGTCCAAACCCCACTGCGATTGATACTCTTCACATGTCAGAAATATTCCCTGCTTGTGGCATGTGGTAAGAGCTGGGTAAATCCCCCTCTGCTGCAAACACACCAATAAATTGGAACAGATAAATAAACTGAGCAGAAATGGGCCTGAAAAATCAACATTTCAAAGATTTAACATCTAAAAAGAAATAAGCAACCCTCTTTCATTTGCTGTGATTCTTGTATTAGACTCTAGACAATACCTGGAGCTTCTTAGAACTTCCCTTTCTTCTCCTGAAATGAGAAAATAACAAAGTGCTGAATCAATAGAAATAATGTGACAATGTTACATATATTTTAATCCACAGATTTTTCTGCAGGTGGCATAATTTAGGAATAAGGCTGCCTCTTAAAAATATAAACAGAGTGGATTCTGTCACTTATTTTCCCACTCCATCTGAAAACACCCACCTCTTCTTTCTTGCTTCAGTTTCTCTCCTTTTAATTTTAATCCTGAAACCAGTTCCTTTGAAGAGTTTGGCATGCAGTGTACAGTGTATCTAAGTGTTCAGAGGTTAGACCAAATACACCTTCCTTAAAAGAAATACCTATACAAATTCAAAATATCATCCTATAAACGACTCATTTTACCACACAGGATCTACCTGGAACAATCTTTCTACTCTGTCTTTTGAAAGGAAGATTTTCACATTTGCAGATAAAATTACGTGAGGCTGAACTATCACCAACTGAAGGGATGAAAAATTTAAAAGCTTCTACATTAATAAAAGAAATGGGGGTAGGGATGCTGCGTTCCTGCCTTTTATAAAGAGCAGATACATGTCAAAACACATGTTCCTAAAATAGCTGCAAAGAACTGGGAATAAAAAATTAAGGGAGTCCTTATTGTCCCTTGAGGAACCTTGAAGTTGTTCCCAAAGCACACAAAACCAGTCACTGGGGTAACAAATGAAGCAATAAACCTCTTTTCACATTTATCTGACACCTGTGGTACTGCAGTCAGGATCTGTAACTCACCAGAGCTGTAATAAAAAACACCGAGTTGTTTAATCACTTAATATCTAAATTTAACAAGTTTTGTGCTCTGACTGGAAAGAAAAATTAGCATTGTGTATTTTTAAAAAATACAAACCATCACTCATTAACAGAAAGGAAGAGCTGAGTTTATGGTTCCATGTATCTACTGCAATAAGTGGTGTCTCAGGAGGGTGGGAGAAACAGGAAAAGGAGTTTTCTGGACACTCCCCAGAGCTGGAGAGACAGGGCCAGCAGGGCTGTGCAGTCTGTGCCCGCTCTGTGCCCTCCCTGGCGCTGTCTCTATAAACAGGAAATAAAATCTGCTTTTGGAACTGCTTTGATGAAGATTCAGCCTTGAGAGATTCGTGCTGCAGTCCCAACTTTGGTACCACGTGTGGCAATTTACTGGCACTCAATATAATCTCTTTTATTCCTCAGCTGGTCAGCCTTTAGTGATGTGTAAGAGGGATTTCTTATTGCTCCAAACCACCAGACTTCTCTTTTCTGAATAAGTGATGACAACTGGGCCAGGATGAGGACACTGCCATGGGAGCCCTGGCTGTTGCAGTCCCAGAGATGCTCCTTGACACACATTTAATTACACATGGAAAGATTCCACTTCTTCACCACAAACACCAGGAAAGAAAACTCTCGGGGTTCTGCTACCACAAGAACCATTCCAACCTCCCCAAAGCCACCCCTTTGTATTTTGTAAATTCTCCTCCTTCATTTTTTTGTTACAGAGAAATAACGACATCGTCAGTCAGGAGGGAAGAAGAGGGAACACAAAAGTTATTACTCGCTCAAGATGATGACACAAACCATAGGAACACTCCAGTTTCACGGTCCACGGGCAGAACCCCATTTATTAAACATTAGAAACTCAGCAATGTACACCAGTTCCTATATACAAATCAAGTTCATCAATTAAAAAAAAAAAAAAAAAAAAGTGCTGTTTGAAATCAGGTTTTATTTAAAGCACAAGGTAATTGGAATTGCATTTTAACTGGGAGTGAATCAGGTCACGAGTGGGACTGAGGACACAGACACAGTGACAGGGGCACAAGACACCTCTGAATTCTTAATGTGGATTTACTGAAAACTTTTGAGGAGAAACATTCAGCTTTTTATACAAACAGTACAGAGTGCTTCCAAGATCTCTAGGAAAATTAAGTATACAGTTTAATCCTTTTAAAGCAAGGTACTTGGAAAACTTCTAGTTTAAAATACCAGCCTATTGACCTATTCCAAACAAAAGGCTCAAATCCTGCAACGGAATCAAGGCAGAGCAAAAGACAAACCTGTGAAGAGGGAGTGCAGGCACTGAGCTACGGAAAAAAACACTTTTCCTACCACAAAATGGAGATGAGCTAACACACTGACCTTTAAACAACCCGACCAACCGACCCCAGGGCTACAAAAAGGTGGCTGGACAGTCAGAAATGCCAAGTGAGCACTAGAAACACGTTCCAAACGTAGCTGCACCACAGCATAAACACACCAAGGATGTTTATTTCTCTACATGCCACAGATACTACTCTATGCTACAACGTATTTTGCCTACATTCTGCATCACACCAGGGACACCATGGGATTCTGGATCCAGTCTTGGCTGCTTTTGCTCCATTTTGCAAGTTTAAGGCCAGCCTGGAGGAAGACTCCTGAAGTGACTGAGAAACAAAGTGATGCTAAGTGGTGGTTTGGCTGAGAGAAGTTCTGCAGAAGAGCAAAGAGAATATCAGATCAATTCACAGGGACAAGATGTGAGAACAAACTCCTCCAAGGACTTCACAACACAAAAATGAAAATGAAAGAGCCAACAGCTCCAATTTATACCTTTTGAATTTGCAGCAAAACCAGTGTGGGGGCACTTTTTTTTGTGTGTGTGATGTGAATTGCTACTTCAATCCCGTTGAAAGTCACTACAAATAAAAAGATAGTAGTGAAAAATTGCTTTATTCTGGCTGCTGGAAACAGAGGCAGAGAAAGAGCCTGAAGAAAGAACAGTGCTGAAAATATCCGTGGCTGAAAAAATCCATTTGTGTTGTGACTTCCTACAGCAAACCCAGCTTTGCTTTATTGCACCAAAATTGTCAGTGAAAAGTTCACAGAAATGTAACATTTTAAAAACCACTTCTGAAAATGGAAAGTTAAGGGCACTCAGCTCCAGAAAGTTCATTGAGGAAACCAAAAGCCATCTCTGGGTTACTGCAGGGCATCAAAATGAGAGAGTTGAGAGTAACGAGGAATTGTTTGAGCCCTGCAGGCCCAACAGTACAGAAATCCAGGAAAATCCAGGGAAATCATGTTGTCTGAACAGACACACTCCTTCACTTGTCTTGGACTGCAATTGTGCTTGGAATCATCTGCTAGCAGGAGGTTCTGGGTATTCAAAAGGATTTTGAGCAGCTGCTGAGATCCCTTTGCACAGGAGGTGCAGACAGAGCCATCCACTTGATTTACCTGAATTTGCATTTGTATCTTCCAGGCTGGATCTCCACAGCCACGAGTTCTGCTCAGGGACCTCATCCCACAGTCCTCAGGTGGGAAATCTGAGCTCCAAGCAAAACCCACCCCACAGGATTGTCCTGAGGCAGCTCAGGTGTGGCCACTGTCACATCATCTGCATTGCTATCCAGGGCTTTCCTAGGATGTCCTAACAGGTTCCCAAATAAATTCTGTGCGCAAACAGGTTTCCCTTTGAGAGACAATTAGAGGCCTCATAATTTAAAGTGTAATTAGCCAATATCTTATCTACAGTAACTACAGCATCCTGTAGGAATGCAAGCCCTAAAAATCATTATAAAAAATATTTCCTTAGAGCGTTTTAAATAATTTACAAAATTCTACAAAAGCTACGAATGTCTATCTGTGATATCCCTGTTAAATAGAATTATTTTCACATTAGTGTGTGTATGATATACAGGTATCAGCATCTCCCACTGCCTCTCCTTTCCTGTCTCAAGTTTTATCAAGGTAATTACAATCAGAGTTATTTTATAAAAAGACTGCTAGTGTAAAAAAAAAAAAAAAGTACTTACATATTTGAAACCTTTTTTTCCAAGAGGGAACCTGGGCAGTCCCCTGCAGGTAGATCAGTAAATTTTGCACAGGTTTTGGTTAAAAATTCCTGCCCTTGGTGTACTTCACTAGCAGCTTCCCTGTTCTGCAGGACAAGTATTTTTCCTTCCATTTTGGAGCTGGATACCTGAATTTCTTCCTGCCTGTCAACTTTTTCTTCCTTAATGCACATCTGCACACGGTTATCTGCACATGCTCCTCCACTATTATACACTGCTGCTGCTGTCACATTGAATTCCTGCCTTGGGCAAGCTAAACTTGCATCTGGCCTCTTGTCCAGCTGGTTATTCCCTCCCTTACAGCCCACTTGGGCACTGTGCTGAGCTGCCTCTCTGCTGACTCTATCTGCTTTTCCCACACTGCACTCAGGGCGTGGGGGATCCGCAGTGGAGTCAGCCCAGCTTCCTTGGTGGATATCTCCTTCCTTGATCCACATCTGGGTATTCTCAGCTCTGGAGGTTTCTCTGCAAACCTTATCAGCTTTTCCTGCTGCCATGCTCTGTTCCAGAGAGGGGAGGCTGGAGTGGGACTGATCCCCTGGAGCATCAGCCTTCCTGCTACCCTCAGCTGCCTCTTTGACACACTCAGCTCCTGCACAGCTTTCTGCTACATGGGGACTCGCCCCTCCCACAGTGAGTTTCTGAGAAGAACTGGCTGCTGTTATTGCTGGTGTAATTTCCCCGCTAAATTCGCCTTTTGGCAAGGGGTTAAGTACATCTGTGTCCTGGGAAGCTGCCTCCATTCCCGAGGCACTGCTCTGGGTGAGCAAACACTCTGCTTTCTGCTTTTTGTTCAAAAGCATCGATTTCTTCCTGTCCCGGGCGTATTTCAGACCTGCAATAAATTTACTTGAGATTTTTAGTTGGAAGGTATTCTTCCTTTTAGATCTGGGCTTTGCATTCATAACTTTTCTCACTTTACACCCTTCATTTCTGCTGGGTTTTGGGGGCTCTGGGTTACGGACATTCCTTTTACCTGTTGCATTCCCAAGTAACTCCCCAGCAGCACCACCTTTGACCCCACCCAGTCCTTGTTTAGCTTTTGACTGACCAGTAGTAGGAACATTCTCGGCAGAGGAAGCACATTTCCCACTGCCAGCTAACATTGCACTTTTCCCTTCTGCTCTCTGAGAGCCCTTCACCTCCTCAGTTTGCTGAGCTACCTCAGTATTTTTACTCTGACCCAGCACGAGGTCAATCTCGTTTTCCACCGGCTGCTGCTTTGCTTTTCCTTTATTACCAGTTTGTTTGGTTGCTCTAAATAGGTCCGGACTTGCATCACCTTTTTGCATCTCTGAATTGCTTGCAGAGTCTTTAGCCTTTTCTGCCAAAAACCTCCTGATTTCTTGCTCGATGCTGTCATCGCTGTCCACTGAGCTGCTGTCACTGGCGTCTGACACAGCAGGGAAAGCACATTTTCTATTTTTAGCCCCCCGCTGGTTTGAAACTGGTTTAGGTTTATTGCTTTTTTTAAGCTGTAAGTTAAACTCCAGGTTTTTCATGGTTTCTGGCTTGTCATTGGGAAGCTTGATGTTGTCTGGAGGGTTCCTGACTGCATTCTCCCTCACAGCTTTCCTAGGTTTTGAGAGGCAGCTTTTTAGCAGTGAGGGATTTTTACATTTCCACTCATTTTGCTGAAGACTACTGAACCCATCCAGCAGCTGAGTTTCTGTCTCACTGAATCTGACTTTCTTCTTACACTGAGCTTTCTGGTCCTTGGATTTCTTCTTTAACTTCCTTTTAGACCGTAGCAGATCCTTGATAGCACTATCCAGGTCCTCATCACTGTCCAGAGAGCTGCTCTCATCACCCGACCCCTCCCTCTCTGGGGTTTGGATGGGGTTTTTTATAGGTTTTCTTGTGCTACTCTGAACCTGCAGAAAAGGGTTTACAGAGTCCAAGGACACACATCTACTGCCATCAGAGCCAGACAATTTGGGAGACATCAGCTGCTGCTGCCTTGGGTCTTTATTACTCTGAGCATCCCGGAGCTCTGCAGGGTTGCTCAGGGCACGCTCCTCTTGGAGCACAGGGAATTTGGAATAGTTACCTGGCTGGAAAAGTCCTGGTTCCAGCTCTTCAGGTAGTTTTGACCCCCCTTGTTTTGCTGCTCTGCCTTCCCTTTTAAGTCTCCTTTTCCTACTCAGGGATAATTTCAGTGTTTTGGGCAGAGCAGGCTGAAGGGTCCCGGTGAGGCTGTTTGGATCAGAAGGCAAAGGCATCTGGATGGAGCGTGACAGGCTGGGAGGTTTTGTTCCAAGGTTTTCTGACTGTGCTTTCAGAGCCAAAAAAGCCCTGATTTCTTGCTCTATGCTGTCATCACTGTCCACAAGGCTGCTGTCACTTTCACAACGGGAGGACGAGAGAAGCTGGGGAGAAAAGAAGGAGTCTGCAGTGAGGGATTTGTTGTCACTTCCCATTTGGGATGGCATGATTGTTTTGGAAATATCCAGGATAGCTTCTGCACACATGAGTTCTGCAGATGTGTCTGCCCTGCAAGAGGCCTGCAATGTGAGCTCACAAGCAGCAATCTTGTTTTCTGGAAGTGCAAAATGTCTGGCTTTTTTCAGTGGTTTAAACAGCTTATTAAAGTCATTGCTGGTGCTTTCTAATCCCGTTGACTTGGAATTAATTTCTTTTCTCTTGTTGCTTATAGGGTTTTTAGGGATTTCTGGTGAGGCACTTTTTGTGGAGCTAATTGTCAGGCTGGCAGAAATGTCTGCCATACCCTTTGGATCAAATTGTTCCCTCTGCAAAGGGACACAGTTTGCTGCATGACCTGCCTCTTTCCTGATTTTCTCCAGCTGGTAAAGCTGAATGGCTTCTTCGATGCCATCATCGCTGCTCGAATCAGATGTGTGCATGCTCTCCTTGGTAAGTGCTTCCCTTGGCTCCCAGTAATGAGCTCCACTTCCCTCATTCTGCTCCACGAGCCAGGGCTGGCTGGCAGTGGCCATTTCTAGATATGCTTGGTTCACCTGGCTGAAATCACTGGGCTCTGCTTGGATTTTTGACTGCAAACACTTGGACTGGGCACTGGATTTTTGCAGTTTGGGATGGTGTCTCAGGAGCAGTGCATTACAGTCTTGCTTTATAGCACCACAGTTTGCTGTATTCGATGCTTCTTTGTTGCATTTCAGGACAGATCTCACACGAGAATCTTTTTTATCCTCTTCAGTAACACATTTACTAATTTCTTGCTGCTTTTTCTCATTCAAGAACTGCACTATTTCAGCTTGTATGCTCTGTTCAAAGGAGTCATCGCTGCTGATGCTCTGAGGAGAAGCAGGCTGGAGCCTTTTCCCAATTCCCAGGTGGTCAGACAGGTACTCTTCAGAGAGCATCTCAGCTTTAAATTTCACAGGGAGGAGGTTACTTGCCACTTTGTTCTGAGAGAATTCTCTCTTAAACCTTTTGTCTCTGCTCACATTCTCAGAACGCTCTGCATTCCTTGGCAAGGACTGGGCACTTTTGCTTTTTGTTTTCAAGTACTCTTGGATGGCTTCCTCTATACCTCGGTCCACAGAATCATCGCTGTCAGAATCCAGCAGGAGAGCCCCAAATTCAACATTCTTTTCCACTTCACTGTCATCAGAATCCTCAGGGCACCCTCTCTGGCTGTACTGAGGATGCTTCCGCAGCAGCGTGGTGCTGGATGTGACTCTGGTACTGGTGCCTTTTTCTCCCTTCTGTTTCTTCTGCACAACACAGCCACACTCATGGTTCATACCCAGGGCAGGCTCTTGGCTTTGCAGGTTGTTTATGATCATCTGCACTTTGGCGCTCACAGAGGTTCTGGTGACGTTGCCGTCGGATTCAGGGAAGCAAACGGGGTATCTACAATTCCTTGCTGGTCCAAAGGACTCCCATTTTGTCTGAAGAGCTACCAGAGGAGGAGCATCCATAAGGAACATTCTAGCAGACCACAGCAAAGTCCACGATGGAACGGATTTTCAGACTGGTCTCTCCTCCATCCTAAAACAAAGAAAAAAACACAAATATTTATTATGCATGTGCCTTCTAGAAATTCCATGAAATAATCCTGGTAACATAAACTGTAAATTATTAACACCCAGAACTACTGTCCCAGATAATCACAGGATTTACTCCTCAACATCACTTGAACAGGTAAATCAGTCTCTCCAGCCACTGGGGATAAGGCAGAGCACTCATCTGTGGTTTGTAGTATTTTCTGGCAAAATCACAACCCAATGCAGGTAATTCACTTCTGATAACTCTTCCTGTGCTTTCTGGTCCTTTTTACATGTGCTCCTGAATAATGATGCACTGCCCAGACCCACAAAGGTACCCACTGTGATGGTATTCAGTGCACTGGTGAGTGTAAACCCCTTTGCACTGAGGTTGCCTGAATATTTTTGCAGAAAACTTAGTGGCAGGAGAGAAAGAACAATTTTAAGGAATTATTTCTTAGTGGGAGTGGAGAACTCAGCAAAATATTCTGCTCGTTGTTTGCTTTGGCAAAACCGCCCTTTTTAAGGACCACACAGCTCAGCTTTCCAGTTTTCCAACGAAAGCAGCACTGGCTGTGTCCACATGGTCAGGACAGGTGGATGTGGAGAAACCTGGTCCATCATCTGGGATGGTGGGACACAAAGCAATTCTTCCTCAGAGAGCAGAGATCTCACACAATATCCCAACACAGCTTTTACTAGCTTTTACTTTTACTTTTACTTGGCATTAAACACACACAGCCCAGGGACTTGGGGCAGCTCAGAGAAAAGGAACTTATTTCTTCCTGAAACACAATCTAGAGCAATAACACCGAGACATCAGTCATCTGGCCTCACTGCAGGATAAAAGCTCTTGGCAAACACAGATCTTGGGGAGTGCACAAAAGCAGGATGAAGATTAGGAGCTATTCTTTGTGCTCCAGTAGAAACCCCAGACAGAACGAAGCTTTGGTTTGTGGAAGGGTGGGAAAAGCCACCCACAAAACTCCAGTTAACACCCCAAAGAGTTCACCACCTCCACATGATCCCCTAAGGGTTGAAGGCTTCACCTGCAGCATCATTTGGTAGGACAATTGACAGTAATTCCCAAAAACTACAGCAGCTGGGTGGCTCTTCAAGCCCAGACTCCACACAAGCACAGTGAGCCCCAACTGCAGTGGCACTGGACTCTGCCAACATACAAGGACATGATTTTCCCTCTGAAACCTCACTGACCTTGCACTTGTCAACTATTCTCTAGATCTGGTTTCAAATTAATCAGTGGCATTAAATATTTTAAAAGATTAATGACTCTAAACTCTTCAAAACTTCTATTTATTTACTGAGAGTAAGGTAAAAGACAACAAGGGAAGACAATTATTCATCGCTCTTCGCTTGAGCAAATATAAATTAAAAACATTTTTCCTTGTAATAAGCAGCTAAGGATCAAAAAACCAGAAATTAGGATACCTCATTACCTTGAAGCAACACAATTAACACACTTTAGCTCCCAGATTCATTAAAAAATAAAACCCTAACGTTTCTCCTATTAACCTATTTCCACAGTTTTCAGGGAAGAGGCAGGTGCCTTCAGTATCCTACACCTGGACTGGGGGTCCTGTGAGAATTACATGGGATTGGGGGGAATTTTTGTGTCCCAGCACCCACCCAGGGCACCCATGGAGACCGTGAGGGGACACGCGAGGGGACACTCAGCCAGGGGATATTCACAGAGGGTGTGAGGGGACATTAGGGGACACCCAGGGTAGGGTCTGAGGAAAAATGAGGGGACACACATCCAGGAGGCGGGGGGTACCCTCTGTAATTCTGTGAGGGGAAATGAGGGGACACCCACAGGGGCTGCATGAGGGGATATGAGGGGACTCCTATACAGGGGGTACCTACAGAGACTGTGTGAGGGGACACGAGGGGACACCAAGGCGGGGGGCATCCACAGGGGCTGTGTGAGGGGACATGAGGGGACACCAAGCCGGAGGGCACCCACAGGGGTTGTGTGAGGGGACACCAAGCCGGGGGGCACCCACAGGGGCTGTGTGAGGGGACATGAGGGGACACCAAGCCGGGGGGCACCCACAGGGGCTGTGTGAGGGGACACGAGGGTAGCCCCAGCTCGGGGGTCACCCCGGAGGGGCTGTGACGGGTCCCCCGTGCTCGGGTGCCG